CTTCCCAGGCTGGAATCCTGCCTTTCAGGTTTTCTCAATCATTTGTTCGCTAGAGCGCCCCCGTGTGTCGGCATGTGGTAATACTTCCAGAGTTTTCCTGGAGAAGGCATTCATTTCTTCACAGTATCGATAAAATGTGGAATAGTTTTTCTTACACTTCAGATCCGAAGGTGTATTGTTGGACTCCAGTTAGGTTGTTAGAACCCTAGTATTAAGGCATGTTTCCTGATTCCACTGAAGCCGAAAGGTTTCTTTCTGCTCCCTGCCCTCTGCCACGTCATTTTGAGCACTTGTGGACACGGTGATTCTACTACCTTCTACTCTAAGCATCCCCAGCTCATAAAATAAGACTGTAACTTGTTTTTCAGTGAATGTATGGGAAGAAATAATCTCAAATTACTAGGAACGTACTAAGTATAGCTTGTTCATAGACTAGAGAGAAAAATATTGAAAATGAGATCCTGGGTTGGCTAGATGGCTCATTGGGCAAAGGTGCTCGCTGCCACATGCACACTAACACATGTACACACAAACACACACACACATACATGAGTCATACATATGCACAAGGAATAAAAGAAAAACTTAAAAATTTTAATATCTCATAGCGTTAAAAAAAAAAAAAGCTTCAAGAAGGGGAAAGTGACATCCAGAGAGCACACCTAAAAGTGTACACACAAACACACACACACACGTATGCCACATGCACATGTACGACACACATCACCACCACCACCACTCAAACATCCATTCTTGGCCACACATTCTGTTAATTACTTTTCTATTGCTGTGACAAAACAATGAGACCAGTGCAATTTAGAAAAGCCAGGTGGTGGCAGTGCTCACCTTTAATCCCAGCGCTCAGGAGGCAGAGAGGCAGGAGGATCTCTGTGAGTTCGAGGCCAGCCTGGTCTACAGCGTGAATTCCAGGACAACTAGAGCTGTTGTTACACAGAGTAACCCTGTCTTTAAAAACCCAAAAGTGGGGGTTAATTGAGGCTTATGGTTCCAGTGTGTTAGAGTTTGTGAGGGGAAGCAAAGGTGTGCCAGCAGAAACAGCTTTGAGTGTACATTGTGATATACAAGTTGAAGATGGAGATAACATGAAAACCTCAACCTCCACCCTTGGAGAAATACTTCCTCCAATAAGACCACACCTCCTAATCCTTCCTAAGCAGTTTCATCAACAGGGGACCAAGTGCTCAAACACATGAGCCTATGGAGGCCATTTCCATACAAAGCACCATGCCCTCATACCCACATAGTGTATAAAAAACAGATCACAAGTTGGAGGACAACCTGGGATACATAGTGAGACCCTTTCTCAAATCACAACCAAAAAGACTTCTGTTAGGCACGACATTGTGGCATACACCATAACGCCCAATCTCAGTGGGCTGAAACAGAAGGAGCTTATGGTCCAAGCCAGCCTAGACAATATGGCTAGAGCCTCTCTAAACAATTTCTCTTCGTTGGCATAGTACAGGATCCCTAAGGAAAATCACAGAGACATTAGGCATATTCCAGTGGCAGCAACACAAATTACCAATCCTACAGTCAACTTTCGGTGTGGCAATGGTGGCATGGTGATGCCCACAGCTACCTTCTAACTCTGGGTCAGTTCTTTCCAAGGGTTTGACTAGATGAGAGCTAGGGATGTCGCTCAGTGTTAGAGCACTTGTCTAGCCTGTGAGCCCTAGGTTCCATCCTGAACATGTGAGTAAGATGAAGGCTGGCAGCTGCTTCGTGGGTTGGTTGTACCCCCTCTGTTTCTCACTCCTTCTACCTCATTTCCTTGCTGCTGAAATAGACAAGGGTCCTAGGGTTGTGTGGATCATGGCACAGCTGGCAGTCTAGAGAAGAGAGAGCCCTTGAAGCAAAGATGAAACTAGTCACTAGAGAGGCAATGTGGTTTGGGGCTCTGGAAATAAAGTTTAGCAAGGGCATATGTGTCATGGGTGTGTGGTGCTGGGCAGGTCTGCCTTTGCAGCCTTTGAACTGGAACTACAGATATTATTAATGCTGATAGGAAGGGAACTGCCTGCTTAGTGGCAAGGAAAATTACTAGTTCAAACATTCTTCCATCTAGCATTCTCCATGCTGGCATTTTGATTTAAAGAAAATATTGCTGCAGCTGTTCAGATATTCTGGAAGTATGTGTGTGTGTGCATGCATGTGGTTTGGTGTTTACAGATTTGGGGTTACAGAGGGGAGTTTCCAGAGCAACGGAATAGCTGCTTGTCAATTGGGGTTCATTTTGAAAATGAAAGCCCAAAGGCTTAGAGCCCACTCTGGGCCTGGGCCTTGTCTTTAAGGAATTCACAGAGGCCCCTCGTCTTTAAGGAATTCACAGAGGCCAAGAGGTATCTTGGGCCATTTTGTTCAAGGGAGAAACAACTTAATCGCTATTTTTCTTTATTTTTATAAATTGAACAAATCAACAAGTTGCTAAGTCCCACAGATTGGTTATAGCAGTTGGTATGGACTCTTCAACCATGAACATATACAGTCATATACGCAAAATCACATTTTCCCTGGCTACCAACCCATGGCGAGGTATCACCCATTCATTTCTTCTGCAATACATTTCTTCTGCTCATCAAGCAACTTAATTAACCTGTTAGAAAAAAGAGGAGAAATATAATAGCCAATCCACTCTAAGTGGGGTAACAGTGGAGCAATAGAAACAGGGGGTTAGCAAGTAGGAAGGTCATTCTGGGCCAGGGCAGAGGAAGCTGGCTAGATAAGGTGAATACTGAGGCTGATCTTAAAATGTTGAAGAACTTCGATAGACAGAAGTGTTAAGGTAATTGGAGGTGGAGGCAGGGGGATTTCTGAGAGTTCAAGATGAGTCAGGTCTATACAGTGAGTACTAGGTTAGCCTGGGCTATGTAAAAAGATCCTATCTCAAAAAATAAAAACAAAAAAACAAAGCAGAGACAGGCATGGTGACAGCTGTCTGTAATCCCACCACTTGGGTGGTGAAGGCAGTAGCGTCAGGAGATGGAGGCCAACCTGGACTATATGAGACCCTATTATCAAAAAATAACCCTAAAAAATTCCTAGGCCGTGGTGGTACACACCTTTAATCCCAGCACTCAGGAAGAGGTGGGAGGATCTCTGAGTTCAAGGTCAGCCTTGTACAGGGCTAGTTCCAGAACAGCCAGGACTACACAGAGAAACCCTGTCTCAAAAATGAACAACAGCAACAATAATTAATAAATAGATTAACTTAAAAGAGACAAAGGAAGAGGAGGGTAGTCTAGGCAGAGGAGGGCAAGTGGGAGGTGACTTCAGCAAGGACACTCAGCCATTTGGCTGCAATTTGGTGCTTTGTGGGAATGATCCACAGCAGATAAACCTGGCATGCATGACAATCTCTTGGTGCCAGAACAAAGGCTACCGTGTCACAAGGACTTACTCTGTCACTTCCTGCTGGGTGACCTTGGGCAAGTGGTCTAACTTTCTCTGCTAAGTGAAAGCAGGAATGATTCTTAGTTCCTAAGACCATGGGAAGAAGTAAGAGCTGGCACATATAAAGTATCTGGCAGTGTCTAGTGCTGAATGAATATATATATATATATATATATATATATATATATATATATATATTAAAAAAACCCCACAGGTTCAAATTCATATACTCAAGATGAGGAACTCTCAAGATATTTAGAGCTGGCCCCAAATATTTGAACAAGGCAGAAAAGCCACTGTCTGACACTGTCCATGGCTGGTGCCACTGTAGGACCCAGAAAGGAGGGCTCACTTTAGTCCCCATTCACCATGAACTGAACTGCTTGAATAGTGTGGTGTCCTGCCTCTACCTCTCCCCAAATTATCTTCCAAACACAACCTGTATCATGACCCATCTGTCATGGTTGTTGTCGTCCTCTGTCCCCCCTACCACCCCCTGTCCTGTCCCCCCCCCATCATATTATCCCCCCTCCAAAGCCAAAGCCTTCTCTGGCCCCCTCTTTTCTTCTTTCTGGAGGGGAGAGGAGCTAAGAACCGCTATCTAAAGAGGAGAACTGATTTGGCAACCTTTATTCCCAGCACTTGGGGAGGAGGACATGACTACATACTGAGTTCCAGGCCAGCTTTGGCCACATAAGACCCTATCTCCAAAATACCAGAACTGCCATCTCTTGGGACAAGAGGCAGAGAGGTTCACCAGGAGTTCAAGGCCAGCCTGGGCTAGAGTAAGATGTTGTCTCAAAACAAAAATGAAAATCAAGCAAACATCAAATTCATCTGCCGGCCAAAGAAAAGACTAAAAGGAGTCTAATGTTGGAACAAAAAGGTAAACTACCCACCGTTTTCAAAAGAATAGAAGCTATGAGTTAGTAGCATCAGCAAGTTTCCTAAGGCTATCGGGAATGACGCTGGAAAGAGGATAGCTGGCTTCTGTGGCACTGGGTCAGAGTCACTTGTAACTGCTTTTTCAGACCAACCCAGAGAAGTAATGAAGGGAGAAGCCTGGGTTCTGGGAAATACATCTTCTACCTGGTTTCAAGTTTCTCCACAGGAATCCCCGACAGCACTCTAGTGCTGCTGGTATTGCAACGAAGGTCAAGGTTACAGAAAGGGCAGGGTAGAGGAGCCTGAGTCACACGGAGAGGCCAGGCTGCCTCCCCAAGGCTTAGGGAGAAGGCGCACAGGGACAAAGTGCAGGAAGATTCTTGAAGAGATAAGAGTGAAGGAAGACAGGGTAGGGAGAGATCGCCCCTGAAGCTCCAAGATGCGGCTCCTGAAGACTGTGAGTGGAAGCCCAGCTCGGCCCACAGGCAAGGAGGCTACTTAGGGCCTCTTCACCCCAGCAGCTGCTAGAATGCTGACAACCAGGGTGACCAGAGCACCACATACCAGCCCAACACCCCCCACCCAGTTGTCTACCAGGTACTGGAGGCTGGACTACCACTCACCTGGCCTTTTGGGGTGGAGCCTGTCGTGTCATTAGGTCGCTGAATGGTACCCAGCTTGTAGAAGAAGCCTGGCTGATCCAGGGGACGCTACTAGACCGCCCACCCCTCCACGCCCCCCACCGCCCACAAAGGCGGCTTGCTCCCTCCCACCGGTCCTTCTCCTCCCCTTCTTCACTCCCTCCCTCGGAGCCCAGTTGCTCAAGACTCTTCCTTCCCCACCGCCAGCGCCAGTTCCTCTCCCCGTGGGGCCCTTGGAAGGCCAACGAACGCTAGCCATCGGAGCCACCCAGGCGGCAGCCGCAAGATCATGGCCCAGCCCCAAGGAGACGCGAACCCGCTGCCCAAGGCCTCGGACGAGCCAGTCAAGTTGAAGGCGCCCAGCACCCTGCAGATCGGCTCCAACAGAACCGACATCTGTAGCCTTGGCAGGTACAAGGGCCAAGCCGTCGCAGACAGTGCCACCCTATCCCGGGAGCCGATCTTCCACAGCACCCTGATGGTGACTGGGGCGAGCGGGACGCGCCGGCGGGGGGCGCTGCGGGAGCTCACGGGGCTGCAGGGGGCGGCTCCCTCCGGGTGGCTGTCGGAGGAGTGCTTGGAGCCAGCTGCGCCTGGGTCCCGCCGTTCCAGTGGACAGGGCAGCAGCCGAGTGTGCCTAGAGCCACGGGAGCACGCGTGGATTCTGGCAGCCGCCGAGGGCCGTTTTGAGGTGCTGCTGGAGTTGCTGGAGGTTGAACCCAGTTTGCTGTTGCGGGACGACCCGATCACTGGCTACAGCGTGCTGCACTGGCTGGCAAAGCACGGGCTCCACGAGGAGCTCATTCTGTTGCATGATTTTGCCCAGCGCCAGGGACTGCCATTTGATGTGAGCGCCCCGGGCAGCGGTGGCCTCACACCGCTCCACCTGGCGGCTCTGCAGGGCCACGATATGGTCATCAAGGTGCTGGTGGGAGCTCTGGGGGCTGACCCCACTCGTCGCGATCACAGTGGCCACCGGCCTTGTCACTATCTGCGACCTGGTACTTCTCAGAGCCTACGGGAGCTATCTGGCGCAGAAGAATGGGAGATGGAACGCGACAAAGAGCGCGATAACGCCAACAACAACAGCAGCAGCACTACTGGATGGTCGCTGAGACGAACCCCAAGTGCATTGCGCCAAAAGTCCATGGGAACACGCTACAAAGTGTCAGCTCAGCCCGCCAAAGAGAAGGCATCAGGCAACCAGGGAAGACAAGGCAATGGCCTTCTGCGCCATCTGTTCCCCTTCATCCAGGACCGTTGAAGGTGACGTGTACTATCTAGAAAGCCCATTGTTGTTCCTAACCCTACCCAAGTAGATGCTCCTCTGATGCAGCTTGGGCCTGTACAGGGCAGATCACGTCTGGCCCCCCAGTGCTATGCCAGGTCTCCCGCCACTGGCTAACTGTCAGAAGAATCGATAGAGAAGGAGAGCCAAGAACCAGGCTGGCCTTGATGCGCAGCTCCAATGTTACAAGATCGTAATCTTCCTTGGAAGAGAGAAGGAATGTTACACGTCTAGTAGCCGTTTCTAGTTTAATAGAAAATATTAAAAAGTAATTTAAGACTATAAACCACTGATGCAGAGCAAATGCCTAACACCTGCCTGCCTGGATCTGCTGTTAGCAAATCTCCCAGGGCTGTTAGCATTAGCCTCTGGCAACCTGCTCCTAAGACTAGTCAGGCCTTACCTGCTCCTGGCCTAATGTATCCTGAATGAGTCCTTAAGTACATTAAAGTGGAATTTTCTTCCTTTCCACACAACAAAGCTGTCTTTGAGTGTCTCCTTTTTGTTATTAACTAGAGGGTAGGGGGACCTATTTATGTTTGCAGGGAAGAGGCTGCCGATCAATCCCTTCAGGTTAGTGATCCATGGCAGGCTCTGGGCCCCATTCTCAGAGCAAATAGCCAGAAGCTATTCACCAAGGAGTGAGTTTTCACCTTGGCTCTGATTAGAAACACACAACTCCCCTGCTTCCTCATCTCTGCCATCCAGGTCTGGCTTCAGGCACAAGTCTCATTCTAGAAGAGTTGTCCTGGGGGGGGTGAGGGGGTGGTGAGGCCCAAGGGTAATGATAAGGGAAAGCCATCAAATTTATATTTCCATGATTTGTTGTGAGTCAGTAATTGATTCAACTTGTATCTTCCCATTAGACACACCCACTCAGTAGAAAGCCCTTTCTATGAGACAGGGCTTTCCTCAACCCAGCTGAGTTGGAAGAGGGCTGAAATGACAGCCATGTCAGTCACCACACCTGGTTCTCATCCACACTTTGTTAAAGTAGAATCTGAAGGTTTGGGGAAACAGCTCTCATTCAGAAGTAGCATGAATTAAACAGACAACAGGAGGCTTGGTTGGCTCAGCTGGAGGGGAGGGAAAAGCACTTGGTGACTAGCCCAGCCCTACTTTAGAGAACCCCTTTAGAAAACAATGGCACCCTGGAGGCTCTCATGGTAACATCCAGGGACTGTTGGGCTCCCCAGCCCTCTCAGTTCCGTCTTAGGATAGCAAGGAGAACTGGGTCATTACAAAACGGCCCAGAAACCCTATCCCAAGCCCATAGATCCAGGCCTCCCGGCCCTACCTCATAGCCTGTTTGTCTTTCATGTGCTAGGAGCTCTCCCGCCTTCCTATAGTAACTCATTAGTTTCTTCTTACCCACGGGATGACCCAAACCCTTTCTACTGCTATTTTAGCCTACCTGGTATCTCTAAGGACTGCACCTTAAACATATTGGCATGGTATAACCTGGCATTGTCTTTTGCTTATAAATAAACTTTTCTGGACTGGTGGGAGGGGGAGCAGTTCCCAAATCCTGTCAAGTGTCACTAGCATATGGCCTAAGCCCCCTTTCCCTGTGACCACTGTGTAGATTTAACCTGGATAAGTGATATCGGACTGTGTAGTCCCTGCTCCATACCTCCCCATTTCCAGTTGCCAAACTGGGTTGGGCTGGCCCACAGAGCCTCCCTGCCAAATGGCTTGAGTCTTCAGTCTCCTCACTTGTCAGGGAAGATTGGCATGTGTGGAGCATTCAGAGGGCACTTATACCAGTGGTCTCATAGAAGAAGTAAGAAGCAGACATCTTTACTACTAGCGGATCTGAGACCAGCATCACCCCGCAGCTGGATGAAGGCAGCTGGAGGGAGGACTTTAGAGTGCCTTTCCATAGTTGATCCTGTCGTTAGCTATTCTTTCCCACAGATTTTTCTCATCAGTGTGATATGGCCTAGCCTACCTCCTCCATGTAAAATTGAGGTTTGGCTGCAAAGGACACAATCCCATGCTGAAAATGCTCTGTGCCTAGCATCAAGCCATTGGCATTTCTGGTATGCTCTTGGAGGCAACACTGGTATGCTCACACCAAGAGAAAGAGTAAAGTCCCTGAGAAACACAGTTAGAGAGATGATGTGAAATTAAACTGTGGTGCTGGACAAGGGCAGGCAAGAAAGACTGTAAAAAGCAAGGATGGGACAAATAACGGAGAGAGTTGGGGGAAGGCTGCAAAGCAAGCAAGCAGGACCTGACACCCAGGGACAAGAACAGCAAAGGCTTTCCAGGGAAGAAGGTATGGGATGCTGGGGGATGAGTGGGAGCTGGCTAGTGGATGTACCAAGTGCCAGGAACTGCCAGTCAGTTTGGCATGATGGGAGCTGGGGAGTGGTTAATGTTAAGACTAGAAAAGCAAATGGGAGTCCAGATCACAAAGGGCTCCTAGGCTGTCATAAAAGAAGCACACTGATGAATTTAGCCAAGATACTCAGAAGTCAGGCAAGGTCTCTAAGTAGAGAAGTAAAATGATACTATTTGAGGGAATCGCTTTGGTGGTCACGTGGAGGATGGATGGCTGTGCTGGAGCGGGGAGGGGGAATGAGGGCGAAGAACTCTCAAGAAAAGTATCCCCAGAGCAACAGTTTAAGAAAACTCACACTTCAGCTAGGGAAGACTCCCACGAGCCAATGCCTTCAATCTTCCTTCTACCCCAGTGCTTCTCACCCTTCCTAATGCTATGACCCTCTAACACAGTGCCTGGTGTTGTGGTAATCTCCCAACCATAAAAGTATTACCTCGTCCTCTTTTTTTCTTTTTTATTATTTATTTTTATTTTACATATCGATCCCAGTTCCCTCTCCCTCCCTTCCTCTTTCCCTGTCTCCCACCCTCTCGTGCCCCCCGGCCACCCTCCCCTCCCATCCCCACCCACTCCACAGGGAGGGTGATGCCTTCCAGTAGGGGTCATCTAAATCTGTCAAGTCATTTGGAGTAGGGACTAGGGCTTCTCTCCTGTCTCTAGGTTAAGGGAATATCCCTCCGTGGGGAATGTGCTCCCAAAGTCCTTTTGTGCACCAGGGATGCATCCTGGTTCCACTGTCAGAGTCCCTTAGACTGCTCAGTCCTTCTGGCTGAGACCCATATTCAGGGGGCCTGAGTCAGTCCCATGCTGGCTTCCCAGCTATCAGTCTGGGGGCCCGTTAGCTCCTCCTTGTTCAGGTCAGCTGTCTCTATGTGTTTCTGTATCTTGGTCTTGTCCTCCCACTCTGCATCTGGAGTCCAGTTCAGCTCAGGGTTTAGCTGTGGGTGTCTGCTTCTGTTTCCATCACCTACTAGATGAGGGCTCGATGATGGTGGATAACTTAGTCGTCAATATCATTATCAGGGAAGGGCATTTATGGTAGCATTGGTAGTATAGTGGTGAGCATAGCTGCCTTCCTCATCCTTCTTAACTGTAATTTTGGCACTGTTATGAATCATAATGCAAATAGCCTCCAGTATGCAAGATATCTGATATGCAACCCCTAAGGGGTTGACACCAGGTAGAGAACCACTGCTCCACACCCTCCACTCCATCAAGGGTTACCTAGAATCCCCGTTTACAGAACTGGCAATGTGAAGCTCTTTAGATTGCAGCTGACCAGAGGTTTCCTCTCCCCACCCCTCCCTTTATTCTAGGGAAAGTCATACCCACTGGTGTAGTGGAAAGTGTCCAACCTACCCTGAGTTCAAATCCTGATTCTTGGTTCCTGACCTTTAGCAAAGTGCTCACCTCTCTGAGTTGCAGTCTCCTGTCAGTAAACAGGAACAACACACTGTCGCTGGAAGAGCTTTTCGGATTCCGAAGCCTCTGCCAATAGCATGCAGCACACTAGACACAGAGGAGCAGGCAATGCCAGCTATGGGAGACAGCTGAAAGGGGTCAGCAGGGTTTGTGGTGAAACTATATTATCTGCTAGAGTGGTTCAGGAGGGAGCTTGCAGGTCAAATACATTATCCCAACTTTCAGATGGCTTCACCTTAAGGTTGGAGACATAGCTCAGTTGGTGGAGCTTGTGCTCAGCATACACGAGATTCTGAGTCACTTTCCCAGTGCTGCATCAACCTAGCATGGGAGTACATGCCTGCAAACCTAGCACCCAAGAAGAGGTAGGATGAGTAGAAGTCGTTCTTGACTGCTTAGGGAGCTCATAGGCAGGCTAGGCTACATGAGACCCGGTGTCAAAAGAAAGAACAGAAAAAAAAGTTCATGTTTATTACAGGTCATTTCCCACATGTGCTAGAGGAATAGATGTTCATGAAAAGGGACACTGGGGACACTTTAATTTGCTGCTGGGGTAGAATTCAGGGTCTCCATCATTGAGATACACCACTAGTATTATTAGGAACTTTGGGGACTTTTGAAAAAGGCTCTTGTATAGCAAAGGATAGCCTTGAACTCCTGATCTTCCCGCCTCCACCTCCAAGTGCTGAAATTACAGATTTGCACACCCCATCTGTTTTTTTTTTTTTCTGATTTCTCCACACCTGTTTTTGCTTTGAGGTAGAGTCTCTGTCTCAGCACAGACTGGCCTGGAACTCACTTTGTCAGCCAACATGGGCCTCAGTCAGACTCAGGGAAACCTTTTTCCTCAGCCTCCTGAGTCTTGGCATTATAAATGTGAGCTACCATGTCCATATTTTAAAACAGGCTATGTAAATAACTCTGGCGGTAGTGTGCTTGCTTAGCATGCACAAGGATGTGGCTTCAACCTCCACCACCAAGTGAGCTGGGTATAGTAGCACAGGCCATCACTTTGAAGGTGGAGGTGGAAGGTTCAGCTCAGTGTCTCATCTTTGATTACGTATTAAGTTCAAGTCTTGTAAAAGCAGCTTTTGTAAAACGTCCAACAAATGTTAAATATGTCAGATCTTGTTTCCAGAGAAGTCATAAACTGGAGTCCAAGCCAAGCCTGAAAATTGCTGAAGAGAATAAAGCTTTACATGCCTTCCATTTCTTACCCCTATTTATCTATGGAAATGCACCTCCCCACCGGCTAACATGCTTCCAGCCTCCCTGTCTTTCCTCATCTCATTCATTGTAATATAGAGCTGTGTCTGTTTTCTGTCAAGATGGACCTTATGGAGTCAGGCACAGTGGCACCAGCCTATACTTCCATCAACTGGGGAGACTAAGATAGTAGGACCCTTTGATCCTAGGAGTTTATAGCCAGCCTGAGCAGCATAGCAAAATCCTTTTCTCTCACTTGGAAAACAAAAGGGGGATAAATTGGGGGCAGGTATAATGAAGTTGGTAGGATGTTTGCCTAGCATGTAAAAAGCCCTGGATTCCATCCCCAGTACTCATAAATTGACCATGGCAGTACATGCCAGTAATTCCAGCACTTGGGATGTGGAGGCAAGAGGATCAGAGTAGCCTAGACTACAAGAAACCCTGACACACGTGGGCACACACACACACACACACACACACACACACACACACAAGTCCAGGC